TTCTGGGAGTTGCAGTTCAAAAGCATCCGAGTAACAAAGGTTAAGAACCACTGGTCTAGACCATCATTCTGCCCCAAGAATGGCCACCTGGATGCTTCTTGGAAGTCTTTAAATAGGACATGAATGCAACCATTGGGGTGTGCACTCTCTCTTTGACATAAATTCCCAGCATTCTCCAGGGTTTCTGAGAGTTCCAGCCTACAAACAGACATCTCCATTTGGCGCATTTGGTGCAGGGCCTACTTTTATCAGTGCATGTCCTTGTTTGCCCTTTGCTTCCTGTTATACATATACAGAAAAACGAAGTTGCTGCAGTGCTTCCTGGGAGTAGTAGTTCTTCAGGAGGTACCCTCTATAATGCCAAATGGGCAGGAAGTCTGTGACTCCCAGGAAGAACTGTTGGTACCTTCTTTTTTGTTTTTACATTAACAACAGGAAGCAAAGGGTAGAGAAGGCCATATAACCTTGGAGGTAGGCCCTGCACCAGGTGAGGAAAATACAGTTCTCTGGTTCCAGTATGCAAAGAAATCATGCACATTCTTTTCTTCTCTAACAAAATGAAAAACAGACTGAAAGGAATCAATAATCCAATGCTGATTTTCAGGTTATAACAAACCTTTGTTTATTTGAATATGTAATATATTCTGGAGGGAAAAATACAACATAAAATACAGACAGCTTAGACTATTAACAAACTAATTACCTCTTTTCAACCTCCTACTTTTCTTGAACCTTTGATGAAAATGCATTTCAATACCTTTATTCAACTGATAGTCAAAAACAGATTAAATACAGCTATTTCTGGCCAGCGTATTTTGGTACTACAATCCATTTGGTACCATATCTCATTCCCACCAGGAGAATGGGGTCAGCTTAGATTGTCAACCCATCTGCTGCACTCAGACTTTTGGTTCAGATGAACTGATCCTACTGAATAGCTACAATTCTGTGCCAAGCTGGTGAGGCTTTTGCTTTGGTTTTATCCCATAAATCTTCCACAATGGGAAACCTAAAGCATATATTTAACATTTTTTTAAAAAAATATTTCATTTCATATTCTTTTCAATCCAGTCTTTAAAAGGAATTGCTCTAGTGTAGGCAGTGTAAAGTTCAAGGCTGCAAGTTTTATCATAGCCCCAGCTCACCAATCCCATGAGATGCCAGGTTAATTCAGAAGATGATTTTCCTGTTAATGGTATCACTGCAATGCCTCCCGTCTCAGCTGGGCAGATGTTTGAAAAGGCAGTGGGGTGTTGCTTGGCACAAAACATACTGTCAGTGACACTGACATGGATTCCCTTTTCCTCATATTGCTGCTCACACAGTAGGGAGTCCACTATCTGAACAGTCCCCATGCGGATTGTGTCATTCTTGTAACCTGGGTCAGTCACATCTGTCAGGATCTTCCAGCCAGTAATTATTATTTGCAGGTCATCTGCAGGTGGGTCAAGATCACGTGTTGATGCCAAGCATACAGGTTGGACACGGCTGCTGATTTTGGCTTTATCCAGGAGTTTAATGATAGCTATGTCAGAATCAAGCAATATTGGGTCATAGTTTGGGTGCACTATAATAGCTGAGATCTAGGACAGAAGCCAGAAAAAGTAGAATACTACTAAATCATAGGAATTCACAATCAAATGTGCTGCCTACTTCATTTTCAATTTACCAATTTCCTGAATTCTGCAAAGTGGGCATGGCAACATTAGTTAACCTGAGAGGTTAAGAGGTGTATATTTTTCTCCCCTGTATGTATTGCACTTACACCTTTGCTTCACCATTTCATTAAGTTAAAAAATAGCCTTTCAAAATATTTTGTAACAGAGGCACTACAGCCAAATCCCAGCTGTCTTTACTTCTGCCCTCCCCTAGCAACCATAGTACAGACTGTGTGCTCAACTTCTGGGATCCTCTCACACTGGGTAATTCTACATGAGGGGAGTTTCTGTTGGAAATTCTACATAGTGTATGTACACTTAAACTTCCATTTCAAAAAGCCAGGAAATTAAGTTCTTCAAAAAACCTCATTTTATGAACGTAGCATATTCTTCTTCTGTATCTACCAGCAATGGCGGTGAGCACAAGAGGGTATCCTGTAGACTGCTGCCCTTTTGTGTTGTCAGTATTGAGGCTGTTTTTTGCTATGTAAAACCTATGTTCACTACCATTTGTGCTTGTCTAAAAGACAGTCCTGACAACTGCTTTCTGTTTGGTAGTGAATGGTAGGGAGCTCAAGAGGGTATCCTGTAGACTAGTGGTCCCCAACCTTTTCCCAAACGTGGACCAGTTGTGGAGGCTGTGGTACGCTTGTGCGGGGGTTGGGTGGGGGTGGCATGCTCACAGGGCTGTGGTGCATTCGTGGGGGTGAAGTACACTCACAGGGAGACCGCTCACATGCATATGCACGGCATGCTCGCAGGGGGCAGAGTGTACTCGTGCGCATGCATGCGGTGGCACTCATGGGGAGTGCTCGCAAGGGGACAGGAGATCTGTGTCTGCAGCCCAGTCCTGCCTAGGCCACGGACCGCTGCCAAGTTGCAGACTGGGGGGTTGGGGACCCCTTCTGTAGACCATCTTGATTGCTGCTATTTGTGTTGTTAACATTCAGACTGCTTTTTGCTATGTAAAGTTTGGCATCCTTTTTCCTACTCACAGCGCAGGCATAGTATTCCTGGAGTTTTGAATTGTGGGGGTAGAAGCACAACATCCCACATCCATTAACTGGTTTTTTTTTAAAGAATAGAATCTACAAATAAACAGTGTTGCAGTACTTGAACATCAAACTCACCCATAAATTCTGTATGGTCTTCTCGTCTCTATCATCATCTCTGTAGAGTTTACCAAGAACAACTTTGATGTCTGCTGTTTTGAGAACAGTAACCTTCCCCAGATTGGTGACGCAGTGGGCTGCAACAACTACTGTGCGTTCATTCAGAAGGGCCCCACTGCAAATCAGTATCCATGCCCCTTTTCTCTGACTGGGACTCTTCACCCCATTGGGTTTCCTATAGATGGCAGCTTGCCATGGCCATATAGTTGTAGAGGATTTTGGAAGAGTGGTGTTTTCTGTCTTTCCACAAACTGTTCCCCCCCAAAATAGAAAATAAAATAAAAGAAATCAAGTGGCTTCTTTTTTTCCTTTGAAACCTCCCTTGGTTCAAATAAACTTTACTTTTCAGTGAGGTCATACACAAAAGAAAAACAATACCAAAGACTATCCAACAGACCTTCTCTGCTATTCTAAATTTACATTCAATTTTTGAGGTAAAATATATTTTGCCATTCACCAAATCAAATTCTGACAAAGACCTACAAGAAGCAGGTTATATTTTAAAGAAAATGTCTAAGACACTAGGCACCAACTTTGCCAAGAAATAAGATATATTTCACATGTGTGCATGAAAATTAGACTCAGAACAGGAGGTAAGTTGAGAAGATTGTGGCAGTTATGGTTTTCCAAAGCAGCACCCGTTTCCCCCTCACTGAAGCACTGATTCTAATAAACATTTTATTCAGTGAAATAGTCACTGAAATCATATGATGCAATTTTCAGTTGTGCAAGGCTGGTGACATAATCATTTCAACCAAGGCAGTTAAAAATTTCTGATCTCCCCTTAAGATCCTAAGGTTCCCTTGAGTTACTTCCATAGTGGGGAAGCCTTTGGGGGCTACAAGTTGGTAAGAAGTTTGTAATACTGTATCTGCAAATTTGCTTAGCTACTTGACTATGCTCCAAAATGTACAATACACATAAAATAATATTGGCTTACCCAGACCTTGGAGAAATTAGTTTTTAGACTGCAACTCCCAGAATCCTCTAGTCAACACGGTCAGTGGGGGATTCTGGGAGTTGCAGTCCAAAACGTTTCCGGTGTCTGAACTTACCTTGCTAGGCTGCTGCAAAAATTACTAAGGCAATGAGTGTGCATCATCTTAAACACTTCAAATAACCTATATAGACATGACATATTATAAGGTATTTGTTATTATAGCTATTAATTCTGCATAGATGAGAGTAGGTGAGTATGTTAGTAATAACTTTACTATTTCTGATGTTGTCTTGGCAATTATGGAAACTGCTGTATGTTTTGCACCTATCATCTTACTTGGAATGCATGAAGGAGCTCTCCCACTCCATTTCCCTGTTTTCAGACAGGTTCTCCGGCTACTTCCCAGCCGGCGGTAGAAGGGAGAAATGCAATCATACTGAAGCTGTGTGTGAAGATGCTGGAACCCTGGAGGTAGTTCTCCAAATGGCAACAATGGTCTTTTGGTTGGATATGCTTCCAGCTTCTGCTTGCTAAATGCAGATGAATAGAGCCGATGCAAAGGGGTCTCTCTGTTTGATGCATAAAGAACATGGGAACACACCAAAAAGCTCCCATTAGTATAGCTTTATCAACAGCTGTACTAAGCCCCATTTAAAAAAAAGCCAGTGGTCTCAGAGGACATCCAGAAAAACTTTACACATAACTGTTTATTCTATCCTTATGACCAATAGCTTTCATTGCTCAGAATTCAGCTAAGAGCTTGATGTGCTAATATCAGCAATTACACTGTGTTTAAGCAGAGTTTGGAAAGTTGCTTTAGGACAACAATTCCTCAGTGAGCATCTTGGGAATTATACCCAAAAATAACCTCCCCAAAATCTGGGTTTAAGCACCTTTCATAGCACTAGATTGTGACAAATGGATCTTACTTTCTCTGGGTTCCATCCCAAGGATAAAAACTATGAGTAAGACTGAGCATTTCTCACCCCAATGATAGAACGGCCATATCTAAGTGGCAAGATTACATTTATACATGCAGATGCTTCCAGCTCCAGTTCACCAACTCTTCAGTTAAAAGAGCCAGATAGACTGATAACATCTTCTGGCTGTTGCCATGAAGATATACTGCTCATCAGAGTAATTGCATCACTCAACTGTGTGCACCAAAGATTTGACTCACTGCACTTGAAAAATGATACAAGACTGTTTTTCGAACCAATGTTATTGTTCTTCATACCATTTGTGACTTCAACATCTGTCACCATAATTAATAACTCTTTCTAGCAACAAATAAAAACTAAACAGAAGCAGTTCACTGTATTTTTATTAGGGCATATGTGCATGCACATATGCAAGCACACATACAAAAGGGTGAAACAATGAGATAGGTTTTCCAATTGACAGAACTCTTCCCTAGGCTTCCTGTCAGACCAAAACAAGGTAGAAAAGGGTGGAGGTGGGGAAAGATGCTGCCTATACAGGGCATTACAGGGTTGAAAGTGAAAGAAAAACATTCCAAAGCAGGACTGCAGTTGGAAGTTAAGACAAAAATCATGACTACTGAAGAAATGGTGAAATATTTTGTATATCTTAATTCAGTCATCAATTCAAATAGAGACCTCAGCTGGTAAATCAAAAGAACACTGTGGCTTAGAAAGGCAGCAAAGATTTAATTAGAAAAGACCATCAAGAGAATGGGATGTGTCACTGGAGACCAAGGCCAAGATAATTCATACTATTGTATTCCCCATCACTATGTATGGGTGTGAAAGCTGAACAGTAAAGAAAGCTGATAGGAAGAAAATAGATTTGCTTGAAATATGGTGCTGGAGAAGAGCTTTGCCGGCACCCTGGAATGTCAGAAAGATGATCAAGTGGGTCCTAGAACAAATGAAGCCTGAACTATTCCTGGAGGAAAAAATTATGAAACTGAGGCTGTTATATTTAGGGTACATCATAAAAAGGCAAGATTTGCTGGAAAAAAACCAGATGGGACATTAAAAAACAAAGATGAACTGATGATGCAGGGATTTGATATAGACTGGTGGTCACATTCTCAATTGATTTCAAGGTATGGTAAAGATAAACAACAAGGTGTTTATGTAGACAGTACTCCCTTTGACAGAGTTATCCTGGATGCCAAAGACAAGCATATTCAAGCACTGTATAATTTTTTATTAGATTTTGATACCCAGGAGGAGGTGGTTAAAGAATGTATGATAAGGTGGGCACAGAATATTGGGCACAATATAAGTTTGGATCAGTGGGAACAAATATGGAAAAATAATATAAAACTCACTAAGACAGTAGCCTTTAAAGAACAAATATATAAATGTTTTATAGATGGTATATAAGTCCCACAAAACTAGCCAAAATGGATGTTAAAATTTCAAATCTTGATTGAAGATGTAAACAAAAAGAAGGTGCTTTTTATCATATATGGTGGTCATGTGGGAAAGCCCAAAAATATTGGGAAAGGGTTGAAGCATTTTTGCAAGAGGTTTTAGAGATTCCAATAGCTTTAACCCCTGAATTTTTTTTTCTTCTAAATATCCCAGATTCAATAGACCCAATGGAAAAATATCTAGTTATCCATATCTTGACAGCTGAAAGAATTCTTTTTGCTAAACATTAGAAAGACCCGGAGAATCCATCTCAAGATGAGTTATTACCAAAAATCCTGGATACGGCAGAAATGGATAAACTATCAGAATGGCTAGATTCAACAAGAAAGATGAATCATGAAGATTGTTGGCATAAATTTTATGACTGGCTTAGAAATAGAATGCAAGTTAATATTTGATCATTGAAAGCCTAAGATCAATTTAGAAATATGTATTATAAATTAATTACACCGGAAACTTACATATCTTTGAAATGTAATAGATAAGAATGAATATTGTGTTCATGTTGATTTACAACCCCTATTCAATTCCATGTCCCCTGTCTCCTATCCCTACTCCTAACCTAAAAAAATTTTTAAAAAGAAAGAAATCTCACTGAATTTCAGCCCATCCTCTGAGTATAAACAAAAGCAGAGCTGCACATGGACGAAGTAGTGGGTGACTCACAGTAAAATTTCAGAGACTGGTTTGTTCTGGTCAGAAGCCATCTTCTGAACAAAGGGAAACATGCACACACACCTCATCCCCTACTGTTATAAGAATGCTGAAGCCACAATTACATGTGTCTGATTCTAAATTATTATTTTACAATTCCATAGATATCATAGCTGTGGAGAATGGAATTGATTACCCTTGTGTTACAAACATATGATTCAGTTCTACTGGATACCAATGAATTCCCCAGTGAACATTATCACATACATATGACATATTCACTGGACCATATGTATACATCTCAAATAAGCACAAGGTACAAGAAGCAGTGAGAGCACATGTGAAATTTACATTCACGCAAGAGAGCTTGGAAAATACTGCTCTGATACATATTATAGTATATCCATTATACTCCAGACATATCTAATATTAGTTGTTGTAGGTTTTTTGGGCTGTTCTGGAGGTTTTTCTTCCTAACGTTTTGCCAGTCCCTGTGGCCAGCATCTTCAGAGGACAGGAGTTAGAACTCTGTCTGTGTTCTGGTGCAGTGTGTGGGACAGTTATTTGTAGCTGTGGGATCAGCTTTTTGTCCTTTTTAGGAGAATGGTTGATTATGGTGATCAGGGTGGGGTTTTTTGTTATGGGTGTATTGTTGTGATAAGGGGGAGATGATCTGTCACTGTGATTGAAGGGTGTCATTAGCTAGTCTTTTGTTTGCAGTGATCATCAGTCCTTGTGGCTAGGTAGAATCTGTTTACCTTTTTGCAAGCTGTATTTTTCAGTGCTGGAGCCAGGCTTTGTTGAGTTTTAGACTTTCTTCTTTTTTGTTGAAGCTCTGCTGATGTTTGTGGATTTGCTGGTATTGTCCAGTACATCTATGTTTTGAAACAGGATTTCATCTCCAGCTTGTTTCAGGGCATGTTCAGCTACTGCCAATTTTTCTGGTTGTTTTAATCTACAGTGTCTTTCATGTTCTTTGATTCTGGTGTGGATGCTGGGACAATGGAGCATCCACACCAGAATCAAAGAACATGAAAGACACTGTAGATTAAAACAACCAGAAAAATTGGCAGTAGCTGAACATGCCCTGAAACAAGCTGGAAATGAAACCCTTTTCCAAAACACAGACGTATTGGACAACACCAGCAATAATTATATTAGACTACACAGGGAAGTCACTGAAATCCACAAACACTACCAGAGCTTCAGATTTATTTTAAGCTACTAAAAGAATGTCACTTATATAGGATATAAATGCTGTAATAAGAGATTAGTTGCATCTCTGCTAGAAACTGCAGACAGTAACAACAGAAATTTCATTGAATTTCAGCCCTTAGGGAGAAAGTATACAACATTTGGGAAAATTAGACATTGGGATAAAATCAAGGAGAATATGCTGGTCATGGAGTCGTGTGAAAGAAGATTGTATGATAGTTCCTTCTATTCAATGAGTTTATGCAATGAACTTACAGCTCGAGTATTATCACAGGAGCTTGGACGATTAACCTGCAATCATAGTTATGCCTGTTTTCCAGCTCCTTTAGATTAGAAGACCCTTTCTCTTAATCTCCTCTTTATCTATTTAGTTTTACTCATCCAGGTAGTGACAAAGCTAACACCAGAGCTATCACTAATTGCAGCATTAGTTATAGTGCTTCATAGTGCTTAATGAGATACTGCCTGTTTGTGGGAGATCTACCTGTATGTGGTCTTCTGCTGACACCATCAGTTTGGGCACTATGCCTAGTGGAGCCCAGACCAACTAACAACCATGACTTCCAGAACCTCAATGAAGCTCAGAAGGAGCATTTAACAGGATGATCAACAACTCAACCAAATAAATAGAGAAAGAAAGTAACAACATTTCTCATTAACATTGTAGTTAAGGCATTGCAATCTCACCTTGACTGAACCTGCATTGGGAGTACTTTCTGTCTCACCAGGTCAGAGATCTTTGGCTCTCTGCAGGCTAGAAAAAATACAACATTGCACAAATCTTTTCCATGTTCAGAGCTCAAATATTAAGGTTTACATTTCAAATTACCCTTTTCATTTTTATTAATAATAATGAATCAGATTGAGGGACAAGGTGTTTGTGAAAGGTGCCTTCTTTCTCTCTCTCTCTTTGTTTTTTGTTCTCAGGGTAACTTTCTTAAAAGAGAAGTTTTAGTTGTGTATATTGAATGGACACACATGCTTAAATGCCATTCAATTCCCCCACCCCATTGGGAAAAAGGTGGCCTACAAATGATACAAAATGAAGGTTTAGATGGATACCTGTTACAAATGATATAGGGATACAGTCCAACAGTGCAATCTAATGAATGTCTGCTCAGAAAACCCATTGAACTCTATAGCAGTTACTCTCAGGTAAGCATGTATAGGTTTACGTGAAGGCTTTCACGGGCGGGATCCAATGGTTGTTGTAGATTTTTCGGGCTCTTTGGCCATGTTCTGAAGGTTGTTCTTCCTAACGTTTCGCCAGTCTCTGTGGCCGGCATCTTCAGAGGACAGAACTCTGTGCTCTGGTGTAGTTGGCTTTGGAGTGGAGTATTTATGGCTGTGAGATGGGCTTATGTCTTTTTCTGTAGATGGGTGATTAGTGTATTTTGTTGTAGGTGTATTGTTGTGATAAGAAGGAGAGATTATCTGTCACTGTGGTTAATGGGTGTCAGCTGATCTTTTGAAAAAACACAACTTACAAACAGTATTCAAGCCCACCACAAAAATACAACAAATGTTACGGTCAACAAAGGAGAGAAGGGACGCCCCTCACCATTGCAGGAGTATACTGGATACCTTGCAGTTGTGGCCAGGTATATATTGGAACCACAAAATGAAGCATCCACACCAGAATCAAAAACATGAGAGACACTGCAGACTAAAACAACCAGAAAAATCTGCAGTAGCTGAACATGCCCTAAAACAAACTGGACATGAAATTCTATTTCAAAATACTGAAATACTGGACAACACCAGCAATCATTATGTCAGAGTGTACAGGGAAGCCATTGAAATCTACAAGCACCAGCAGAACTTCAACAAAAAAGAGGAAGTTTGAAACTCAACAAAACTTGGCTCCCAGCTCTCAAAAAGACAGCATGCAAAAGGTCAATGAACTCTCCCCAGCCACAAGGACTGGGGATTACTACACACAAAAGACCAGCTAACAACACCCATCAACCACAGTGACAGATAATCTCTCCTTATCACAACAATATACCCATAACAAGACACACTAATCACCCATCTACAGAAAAAGACAAAAGCCCATCTCTCAGCCATAAATACTCACTCCCAAGCCAACGACACCAGAGCACAGAGTGCTGTCCTCTGAAGATGCCGGCCACAGAGTCTGGCGAAACGTTAGGAAGAACAACCTTCAGAACACAGCCAAAGAGCCCGAAAAACCCACAACAACCATGTATAGGTTTAACTTAATGTTAAAGTTCAGTGCTTGAAAACTAATGTGTAAGTATCAGTTTCAAGTAAAGATCAAACTCTTAGGCTAGCCCATATATAGCTCACATCCACTATCTGTAGGATGTGTGGTTTCGAATGAGGCTGTATATTTTGGGCAAATCATGAAATCACTATAAATTCTAAAGCCCCAGTTCTGTCCTATCCAGCCTTCAATTTCTCTTCAGTCCAATCCAAGTTAATCAAGCTCACATGCAGGGCACTGAGTGAACGTGTACAGTAACAAATAAAAATATAATTATAAGTTAAAATAAGAAAATGCATTATAAGTAATTATAAATCCATCAGGATATTGTATTGTTGTGAAAAGTCAAATTTATAAAATATTTTAGAGCAAAAAATATTTCCCCACACTCTTACCAATGGATTTTTTTAGACAGAATAGTCAATATCAAAACTATAGTTTAAAAATATATTTTACATTTATAGTATATTAGCTTCTGCACATTATATTCATTTTTCTTCCTTCTGGAAAAATATCTTCTTTGTTCTAAAATAAAACTAGGCTGTTATATTTCTAAACAAAATGTACATAGAAAATGAAAACTATGAAACTGATTTTGCAGCTTGGTGCTGATGCAATTCTTGTAAGTCAAATTTAATCATTTATTGACGTGTGTTAGAGCATAGCAACTTTTTTCCAGTTCTTTAATATCCTTTTGATGTACTGAGTATTTAAATTCACTCCACTAGAAGGGGGTTAGGCAAAACAAAGAATGAGGAAGCTGGATCTCAGAAAGCCTTTGGCTGCAATTCTGTACCCCAAAGAATACAAATGTGTCTGCTTTTCAGATTTTGTTTGATTGCATTTCCCATCATCCTCAGCCAATATAGCCAATACTGGCAGATCATGGGAGCTGACGATCAAAAACATCTGGAATTCAAGCATGTCTTCCTTTTGAGTAGCTGTGCATAGGATTGCATTATGACAGAGCTAGCAGGATAGCATGATAAAACTGAAACCTAAAAGCAAATCTGGCTGGCAGGCAAGACTGTACAAGCACAAAAGGTGATGGCAGAAAAAAATTCACTACACAGTAAGTGCTAACAGTTGCCCAGAAAATGGTTGATATTGACTTGGAAATTATTATAAGCCTACCACATCACAGATATCACAAAGATATCACAGTCTTCAGCCCCACATAGACCAACAAAAGCCAAATACTACAGTTCCCAGTTTCAAGATGTGACATGGAAGTCTTACAGAAAACAAGATTTAAGACAGTTATGAAATCTTCAAATACACAGTGGCTGAAATCACTACTAATTTCCTTCACAGGACCTGCAGAAAAAGCCTGGGATACTTCCTTACCTGTGTATCCAAAGCCAATCAACTCTAGTGTTGGCATATTCCCTCCCCCCCCACACACAAAAGAGCTTGTATATCAATAAAACAAGCTATATAATAAACCCCATTTTTATACAATTTTAATAAGGAGAATCTAAATTACCTTTTATGCAAATTGGCTGCTTCCCTGACCATTCTCCATTTTCTTGACATGTCCTGTGCTCATTGCCACTGAGAACATAGGAGTTATTGCAAAAGAAAGTAATAATTGTTCCGATTCTTGCATAACGGCCATTCATCAGCGCAGTATCTTCCATCATTTTCCTGTATCCATTGAGTGGAGCACCAGGATCAGAGCAGTTTTTGTCTTCTATGACTAAAGGGGAAATGGGAAGTTATTGTTTTAAGCATTGCAACCAATAAGGAAATATTAAATGAACCATTACAAAAAAGTAATTGTATATTGAACTGTTAGATTTTACTGTTTTATTTAGCAAGTAAGAAGCTTTATCCTGAGCCATAACTTGCAATTGTCATGTCAGGGCCCTCATTGCTCTATTGGTTAAGCTTGGATCATAATGAGACTTCCATGCTTAGAGAGCATGTGTCTCTGGCAAGGGAAAGCTAGAACTACACCAAGGAAGAGCAGCTGATGGAAAGAGAATCAGGGTTGTCAGTTTTGGGTAGAATATTGAAAAAGGCATAAACTGAAGGGTGTTCTCCAGCAAAAAGTGCCAGTATTGGCCCCAAGAATCAGAGGTCACAACAGGCAGCAAGAGGCATCTGTATATATAGTTTCTCATTAGGGTGTTATCTTGTGGAACAATCCTAACATATATTAAGAATATAGAAACAATATAGAGATACCAACAAAATTAATGTGAAGCTACAGATTTGTTAGTCTCAGAATAAAATGTCATCTTTTCATTATACCAACATCTTTAATGGGAAATGTAATAGCTGGGGGAAAGAAGAATAAATATAAAGCATTCTTACCACATCCAGGATGTTGTGTTGACCAGCTCCCATTTAGCTGACAAGAAGCAAAATGGCTGCCTTTTAAGGTGTAACCTGCGGTGCATTTGAAGTAAACCTGGGACCCGTATTTAAAGTCATCTCCTTCCACAAAACCATGAGCAGGAGTACCTGGAGTCCTACACATCACCACTGACAGTTCAGATATTTCAAAAAAATCCACTTTATTACAAAAACAGGACTGTTTTAGGTTGATATTTTAAAACTTAGAACGTAATAAAAAATATTTAGAAATAAGAGTTATAGGAGATTTTTAAAAAGTCAAAATTGTGACCAGAATCCTATTGCTTATACACACAGTGTAATGGTGTAAATCATAGTGGTGAATTGCTGCTGGTTAAGGAGGCGCTGCTTGTCCTCCTCATCATACATTAGTTACATGACTGTGCATGGGATGAGAAATATAAGCGGTAACTCCTTTACTAGCAGCAATTTGCCATTGTGATTCACGATATGGGCACTTATTTCAGCATATATAAACAATATTATTCTGGTCAATCCAGAGTACTTTGCAAAGTATCAATTCACTCTCTGAATTCTGATGTGCCTACGTGGCTCACCATATTACTCACTTGCTTGAAAACATGAGTATACACACTTCACTGAGCCTTCTATTTTGCTGTAATCAATATTTTCCACGCTACCCAGAGTTTTCTTTGGAATGCTAGGTATCATTGGACTCCTAGGTCTATAGAACTGAGACTACTGAAAAGGGACTGCATAATTAACTCTGCTGTAGAAAAAGTAACTTCTATAATTATAAGAAAACAATATGGTATGATTCAATGAAAATCATGGATTCTTAAGGTGAACTGATTTAGTTGGAAAGTTATTAATCTTCAATTGAAATTGATAGAATGTAAGAGCTTTACCTTTGCCGGATTGTGCCTGTAATCATGAGTGAAAAGGAGCTTCAAAATGTTCAGTTTCCCCTGCTTTATTATACTAGAATATCTCAATGACCGATTGCATGTAAACAACATGTCATAAGACCTAGCTTGGCACAGGCTATGGACTGCAATCATTCCTTTGCTCTGTTTCATAATCACAGCTGAACATCCCGTAATAAGGAGACTTTATCTAAAGTGGAATTAAGCATAATTGTTGATCACAGTGGGTTTAGGATGGGCTGATTTCTTTCTCTTCTAACCCTTCCTTTAAATATAGTTCTTATTGTCTACTTACAATTCACTAAATGAGCAAACACATAGACATCTATGTATCTAAATTATAGATACCTATATAATCAATATATAAAGAATTCATTCTAATAAAATACACCTAAAGCAATAGTTTTAAAAAAGAACTTGTTCAGCGGTTGTTCCCAGGTGATAACTATATTCTAGCAGAGCACTACTAAATGCTTTCCTCCTGCACCCTATAAGATATCCAAGCACTTACTAGATGCTTTATTGTGCTCTTTGCCCTTCGTTTTTCTTATTTTTGAAAGCACCCTTTGATTCCATCATACTCCAATATTCTTCCAGAAATAACTTGTGTCAAACAGTCAACTGGATCTTTAAAAACAACAAAAAAAGCTTCTACATGATGAATTCAAGTATTTCTCATCTCCTACTCTTTAACCTACAACTTCTGAAAATCCTAAATATTATCATGGTGCAGCTCTGTTTAAGTCTTGGCATCTGAATCTATCGGTGTCTATTACTGTGCAAAACTTTTCTCACAATTTTTATGCCATTTAGTTAGCTTCTTTCACTGCTGCAACTGACTTTGAAATGACTCTTCTTAACTCCTTGTGTTCTTTGTAGGGACATTTCCTTTCATTCTGGGAATGGCTGTCAATCAGGTTCATAAACCCAACTGACTTCCCCCCCCTCAGATTCCATAGTACACTCAACAGAGTTTTTGCCTAGAACAGAAACCTTTGTAAGAGATATTTTTAAATTCCTTTTAGCAGACATCCCCTGCTTCTTTTACCCTTGGATTTATCTCTGACATTCTATCCTGAAAGCAATTCCGGAAAGAAAGAAGGGAGGAGCAGAATATTCTGTGATAATCTGTTTCATTACATACATACACCAACAAAAGAATTTATATTTAAATCCCATTGAAATCAAAACTGAACTATGTGTGCTGGGTCAACAACAATAGAAATCTGTGACCTGGATAGGTGACATCTGCCAGGCAACAAAAAAAATATACGTGAGCCATTATCATTTGTTAGAAAAGAATGAAAGTGCACAGTCTAACTAAGAATAAGCACATTTCAGTCCCCAAGGCCTAATTTAAAGTCCCATTGACTTAAATAGGTCTACTCTAATTAAAAGTAAGGGTCAAATGGCACACTACATTAAACATGTAGCATGTGGCTTTGTATCTTTTGCCTCTTCTTTGCTCTTAGCAACAGGGGAGTTTGTGGTTCTCCACATTGACACTAAGGAGGAGGAGGAAAGGAAGAAGGTGCACACAAACGAATTAAATGGATAGCCTCAACTTTATTGGTTACAGCTGCAGAGCCTTGAGATTGCACAGGGGGCAGAACCAGATAACTTACCTGCCAACTGAGGAATCAACCCACTTGGCCAGCAACACCTGTTGTGACAGGATCTGGGTACCACCTGAATTCTCAAGCTATTTGGCAGATCCCATATTACCTGGGATGTGAGGCCTGACTTTCTTCCCTCAAGGTAGGTAGACTTTCCATGGGAACCTTTGCCCTACGTTCTTTTGTGGGGGGTCTTCACTATTTCCAGGGACACTAAGGGTAGATTTTCTACCTTTTGTACTTTTTGTTTTGTGTGGTTTTCCGCCCCTAGACTGAGCATGTATTCTATACAACTCTTCTCACTCACTTGGGACTATCCCATAGAACTCAACAGTACTTGAGTTTGCAAGTACTTTTCAAAACTTTTTAAAATCACTGTTATTCATATTCTTATACTAGGGCAAGGTCTTCTTGAACTGTCCCAATTTACCAAAGCTCCAAAGTGTACATTCATAGAAGCTGCTACATTTTTAAACATTTTTTAGTTCAACTAGGACTCTGGATTTCATTCTTTACCAAGAAAGGATAAGTGTCTGAGTAGGGAGATGTTGTCAAAGAGGTTACAAATGTTTCAAAGTTGTATAACAAGTCTGTGACTGGATTAATAGAATTTAATGTCATTCTTCTCATCTTGCTTGTACTATATTTAAAGTCTCATTCTATGAGTATATTTAGCACTCAGAGACAATGTAGAATAAATGAAGACAGAGCATCTGAATTTTTAAGTTAAGTATCCACTATTAATAACACTCCGGAGATTTTTATTCCCTTCCTCTCATTTATTTCTGGGCAAAACTGCCATTTAGAGACGAGTTTCTGTATTCAATTTCCTACAGAAAAAAAAATGGATTACCCATTTAAGCCACTGCTCTGTCCCTGGAATATCCATTAAAACTTTCCTAATTCCAACTGTCCTTTGCTCTTGATTCTTTGCATAAATACGAGATCGTTGTAGATCCTATTTTTCTTTTCCTTCTCTATGTCTCCAGCATTATTCAATGCTAAATAATGTATATGTTAATCTCATCCAGGCACCCTTCAGCTATAATATATCCCACTGCCAAATAGGAAGACTTCTGTATGACCAAATCATTGACATTTGCCAATAAATTATTACAAAACATAAGATGATTGAAGAATGATATCTTCAAGAATTCCAGTGTGAAAGGACTTGATCCACATCTCCTGGATTGATGTATGGACCAGAATTGATACACCTTGGATTTTGCACTTCTTTCAATATTTCAACAGATCTCAGCATCTCAAAATTTTAAAAATATGTGTAAGATTGAAAATGTGCTTGAATAAATATTTAATTGTGAATATTTGTTTCTGAAACTTTGCAGGTTAATCACAAATGGGATCAAATTGATTTAGGGTAAGAACACATGCAAAAATAACAAGGACACAAAAGAGGGCCTTTTCACAGGTTCTGGAATGCACTGCCCTGAAAAGCCAGGTTGGCCCCCTCCCTCTTGTTCTTCTTTAGGCAGGGTTTTGAGTAGAAAGTTGTCTCAGGAATACTGGTTTTGAACTTAAAAATGTTTAATTGTTTTTAAATTGTTTCATGCTGTTCAAAAATCTTGATAAGTATTTATTTTTTAAATATGATATTTATGCAGTGTTTTTAAATCTAAAGCCAGGTTGGCCCCCTCCCTCTTGTTCGTCTTTAGGCAGGGTTTTGAGTACAAAGTTGTCTCAGGAAAACGTGTTTTGAACTTACAGATGTTTAATTGTTTTTAAATTGTTTTATGCTGTTCAAAGATCTTGATATGTATTTATTTTTTAAATGTGATATTTATGCAGTGTTTTTAAATCAGTTTTATTTTGCTGTGAGCTGCCTTGGATCCCCTTTGGGGGAAAAGGTGGCATATAAGATAAATAAATACATTTTTGGACCTGGTGGATTCCAAGAACTTATTTTGCTGTGAGCTGCCTTGGATCCCCTATGGGGGAAAAGGTGGCATATAATATAAATAATATAAATAAATACATACATTTTTGGACCTGGTGGATTCCAAGAACTCATGTCTTAATGTATTCATGAAGGCTTTCACGGCCGGGATCTAAAGGTTCCTAACGTTTCGCCAATCTCTGCGGCTGGCACCCAGAGCACAGAGTGCTGTCCTCTGAAGATGCCGGCCACAGAGACTGGTGAAATATTAGGAAGAACAACCTTCAGAACATGGCAAAAGAGGCCGAAAAACCCACAACAACTCATTTCTTACTTACTTCTTTTTGTCTCCATGAAAAACCCTCTTTCTCTTAGCTGACCACTAGTTGCAGAACTTGATACCTGTAGGTGCTATCCGTACTGTTCTCCTTTTTGAATGTGAAATGCCATCAAAGTGCCAAGCACAAGTTAGTGACTCATAAACTCCTGTATCAGGAGGAGGTCAGGGGAATAGTTGACATTTGATGCTCCATGAGTCCTGTCATGGAACATCAAATGCTAATTCAGGAAGATGGAGGGGGTGCAATACATACCTACATGGACATAGATTCTGCAGCACAAAATCACAGACTCCTCTGTTTGTGTGTGTGAGAGATAATATCTCTGCTTTCTTTCCCTCTGTGGGAGCCCATCTGCCTCAGCTTTCCATATAAAGGGGCTTTCCATATAAAT